AACAACCTTTGAAAGCTTTCATCATGTGTAATTATTGGTGCTGTTTCACCAAAACAGATGGCTGTGAAGCAGACTGAACAGTCTCTCCCACCCACTCGCTGTAGAGATCCAACCATCAGCAATTCAGTTTTGGACATTTTGTTCTCTGTATCAGTTGACCTGTGCACTAGCCTTTACTTTTTTTTCACTCTCAGAAATCCAGTCTATCGAGTCACTGCCGATAACAGCACTGCGTCAGAGGAAATTATGAGATATTTAGTGAGAGCGTGACTGTAAATTGCTTGGTCACCTGATATTCTAACAGCCAGCCCTTTATGAATGAGCAGCAAGACCTCAATGCCTTCAAAACATTAAAAAATACTAAATATAAAAAACAACATGACTTAATTTATCTGAGGATAGTGATGTGGTGCTTAATTCCTTTGTCTCACAACAAAAGCTACTGTCAGATTTATGAAAATTGTAACATTGTGAGTCTACTTTGTGAGTCGCTTTAGATAAAAGCGTCTGCTAAATGCACAAACAAACAAACAAACAAACAAACAAAACAAACAAGAGGATTCCTGGTTTGAGTCCCTCGGCTTGGACTTATCTCAGTGAAACTAGCATGTTCTCCTCATGTGTGCACGGGTTCTCTATGGTTGCTCCGGCTTTTTCTCCCACGGTCAAAATACAGCATAATTGGTTCTAAATGACCCCTAGAAGTGTCTGTTCTTTTTAGTTTTGTGGGGCCACACAAAACTAAAAACAACAGACATTTCAGGGTCTACTCCGCTCTGGCCCCATTGCAACCCTATTAAAGGGTAAGCGGTATAGCAAATGGATGGCAGGTATATCGTCTCGGAATAGTTTGAATAAATTGCGACGATCATCTTATTGATGAGAGCTCAAATGAGAATAAGCAAGCCGAGTGGACTCTGACAGACAGCAACTTAGCCTGTCAGGTCTACTCAGTCCACTCAATCACTTCCAATGTCATTGCTCCGTGCTGAGCAGAAAAAACAACATCATCGTGTCCAACCTTTTGATGGACACAACAGAGGCAGAGCAAGCTGTCAGCTGGGAGCGGATATTCATAGCCGCAGAACTCCAGAGGACTCCGGCCTATTATAACTTTAACAGTTTCGGTGGTACATTTATAATTGAACTTGTCCAGAGTCCAGACTTAAGTTTTTATTTATTTATTTATTTTCATTTATTTATTTATTTTAATTATTTTTAATTTTCATCTTTTCCATTTTTTAATTTTCTTTTTTATTTATTTATTTTATCTATTTATTTTTTTATTAAATTTTTTTATTAACTTAAGTCCAGACTTAAGTTAATGATGTTGAATAAGTGTTTTCTGGACCCTCTTCGGACCCAATAATGCAAACAATGTCTCAGACAATCAGGTTTGATTACAGCAGACTGTTTGTGCACTGTTGTGGACTTGAGGAAGCTATTTCAAACCCAAACTTTGCTTCATACTCTTACACAAAGAGCTCTGGGTATAGCTTTGTTCGGTTTATCTCTGTTTGGAGATGCATAGCCATCCATTCATGTATTATTTCTCCATAGTAATGACTTCACAAAATAGCTCCCACCAAACAGGTAAATCTTTCGGAATTACGACCGTCTACACCGTTATATCAACAGCCTTTGGAGTCTGATTTGTGTTGTAGGTTGTTTATGTCTTGTCTCCCGGCTAAAAAAAAAGAAATCTGACTTAATCTAAATTATCAACTTGCATCTTGGACTCGATTCAAAGGAGCTCAAGGAAGCTTTCAACTTAATCAACACTTCCATTCTGGGTTTTATCAATCTATCTTTCTATTAATCTTTTGATCTGGAGTGAATGGATGTAGTCCTCGTGCTGCTTTGTGTGTGTGTGTGTGTGTGGTGTGACCCTGCAATTATCACTGGGCTTTCCAATGATTGCTACTTGGATTACCTTGAATTCTGTCTTGTACTGCTGACAAAGCTAATCAATACATTTCAAACACTTGCAAACAATGAGGCATGAGTCCTAAAACTTAACATAACTGCATACATTTTCTCGCCTTTTAGCTTTGAGCTTTGTTTTCTAGAGTCATTGCTTCCAAGTGCAGTGATTTACAAGTGTTTTAGGAGAGGTTGATTATTAAATAGACTATCAACATTCCGCGAATTTTGCCTGCTTTTAGAGATAGCCTGTATTTGGAAGGTGCCCACACAGTCATTTTTATTCTACTTGCACATCCACATAGCTGTTTAGAGAGGCTGAGGGCAACTCCCTTTGAAGAATGAACTGGTTTCGACTTAGAAAAATCAGCACGAGGCCCCATTAAGTCGAAGAGGTTGCAACTCTTGGGAATTTCTGCAAATATAAACAGCATTGTGATGTGTGCAGTGTGGGAGTGCTTTTCTCCGGGTTCACGAGGCTAAATTGATATTCACGGAGGCAGAGATGATGAAACAAAGAAACAGCGGAAGGGTTTGACTCTTGCTTTTATTCAGGTAGCAGCATCAGTCGGCGTTGTCCTATTTCCATACCGCAGCCCCTCGCAACCCGCCAAAGCCACACGAGTATGTTCAGACGTCACACACACAAACTAAACATAAAACATACCTATCATTCACACAGCTTTTTCCAAATTCGCAAACACACGCGCAAACACACACAACCCTGCACCGAGCCCTTCTGCAGCTTTCATGTACAGAATGAGAGACTGCAGTAATGTCAGAGAGAGAGAGAGAGAAAGACAGAGAGATCCATACAGTACATACAGTACAGAGAGCAGCCTCTTGCTTCAAAACCGTAATCACTGACATCTTTATCTGCACTCGAACGTGTACTCAATGGGGCTGTGCTTGGCTTTGCGGACTGACATCGTCTACTTATTTTTTTCAGGACTCATCTGTAGACTTCGATTTCTACACCTAATGTTTTTGACCGTCAGTCCCACTCGAAAAGTGTACGAGAATGATTTTTCGCACACTTTAACAAGGTCTCATGTTCTTGGGTTTAAAAATCGATACGCGACCGAGCTCGGCCTCGAAACATTGTTGTTAGGACCACAATAAGAAAAGGGCTTTACTGAGGAGCATCCAAATGAATTTCGCCTCCTCAGGGTAATGAATGTGCGCAATATGTTCCTCCATGATGAGAGCGACTACGATCAGACTGACGTTAAGCATCTTCTCTCCCTATATGGCATAGCATAGCCAAGAAAATTGCTTGGACCTTTTCAACCTGCATGATCTTAGAGATAACTGAGTTGTCTCACCTTGGAATATCTTGAAAATGACATTTTTTTGTTTGATTCTAAGTCCACTATTCCCATTTAGTATATTAGCGCTTGGTCTGGATTTAAAGTCACAGTTACGTTTTTTTGTTGTGCCTAATTTACTGAAATTTATAACGCAATATAGGGGCTAGATATGAACTCCCGGAGTCTGCTCACTAGTGCCAATCTGAACTGTGTCTGCTTCAAAAATGACCCAACTAAGGCTCCCATTATCTGAGCAGACTTGACTTCCCGTCATTTGTCTTCTCTGGACTTCCGATGTGCCGTTGCGCTGATTGGCCTTAAAGAACTATTTAGATTGCCTTCACTCGCTTTTAAAAAGCTGACCTTTTCCAGTAACTGTGGTGAAAAAACAAAAACCTCCACGGGCCGCTGCCCGACAGCGTGATGAAGGCTCTATTTTGTGAAAGCGGAATATCGTTCACTGTACTGAAGCTGCAGCAGAGCCCAGCGCAGCTCTCTGGGGCTTGGTCATTAACACAGTAAAACACACTTTTAAATACAGTATCCTAAACTGGCTTTGATTCCCGTTCCCCGTTGCGGTCACGTGCGGCGTTAATAAAGAACATCTTTGAATACCAACACTTTGACGGAGCCTGGAACCCAGGAAACGAGGGACGAGGAAAGAAAAATGAAGTCGAGCAGGTAACCTCCCCTCTGGCTCTCCACTTAAAAGCTGATTTGTAGCCTTGGAAAAGAGAAAAGTCTCCCCTCCCAAAAAGCTGCGCGGTGGCATGGCACACACTGAGAAATGACACTGACTGATGGACCGAAGAGCTACGTGTGAGCTCAGCGGCTGCTTCCACCTCCGGCAGGTGCTTTCTTTCCTGACATCGTATATAAACGGTGAAATATTCTCACGGAAACAGCCGCTGTCAGATTCTGTGGCGGGGAACAAGAGAGAGGGAAAAAACACTAATATGGAAAAACCCTGAATATCAACAGAAACGGATGACCTCCGGCTATGGTTGCACTTGTCATACCAAGAGAGGAATTTATTCTGATCTCTATCAGCTATGAGACAAAATGAAGCGGCGACAGATGGTCGGCTGGCTGGCTGCTCGCCTCGGTACGGGAGTGCGTTTGTCACGGGGAAATTTACCCAGAACGCGGACGCTTTTGCGGCTTTTTGTCTTATTCCGCCGCCTGCTGACGATTGGGAAGCCGAGCTGTCAGTCAAACTTTTTTCTGGCTCCTCTGTAAGCCCACAATGCTTCCCCTTTGGCTCCTGAAGATTTTTCCAAAGCACAGTTTAAAACGCACAAGCATACTTTTCCTCCACCTGCACATACACGCACTCATACACACATAAAGCTACATACTGCAGACAAGTCTTCCACCCGCTCTTACAAATATGGCCAGGCGTTCAACTCTATTTTCTTTCGCCTTGAGCTCCAGGCCCCACGCATCGGAGGTCCCGTCCTGAAAACCCCTCCCCCCCGAAAGCAGTTTGTTACAGCTTAAACATCACAGCAGAAGTACAGTCCGTCTCGTTAATCTCCTCTACCCGTAGCAGAGGAGAAAGTGTAGAGATAAAGACCCTTTCAAGTCACACGACGAGGGATCAAATGTTCTTTAAAAAATAAAAAAAGAAGAAAAGTCTGATGGACAGGAGTCTCATAGTCTCCGAGGGGTCCCGTGTGAGCAATCCTAGTTAAATGCCCTTTCCCCCCTGCTCTCTGACAGAGTCAGTGGTTCGGTGCTCGGGGGTATGGAGGTCAGGGGTGACGGCTAGCTGTTGTTCTCAGCGGTCATGTACTTGAGGGCGGCGAAGCCGTAACGGCGCGACATGTTCTGCTGGAACTCCTCCTTCAGGGTCTTGAGGCAGATCCGGTACTGCTTGTTGGAGCGGAACTTGGTGATGTCGAAGCTGGGCGCGTGAGGCATGTGGATCATGTAGGCGTTCGGGAGGACCACAAACTCGTACTCCTGCGGAAAGAGCAGCGGGAAAACAAAGTTTAATCTGAGAGGCTGAGGAGCACCCCGCAACAGCTGTTGTCGAGCAGACGATACAAAACCATACTGACGATCTACGACTATTTATTTTTTTATTTAACCTTTATTTAACCAGGAAGTCTCATTGAGATTCGGAATCTCTTTTTCAAGAGAGACCTGGCCAAGGTAGCAGCCAAACCACAAAAAAAATCATACATAATACATTTTACATAATAAAATCAGAGCAATATGTTAAAACACATTGAGCATCTCAAGAAAGACAAGCACATATCTCCATCACTACACTCTTCATGGTTGCTTTGAATTCATTAATGGACACTAGAGTTTTTAATTTGAACTCTTTCTGGAGGTTATTCCAACCCCAAGGTGCAGAGTAAGAGAAGGCAGTTTTTCCCAACTCAGTAGAAGCCCAGGGTACATTAAAAAGGAACCACTGAGACTATCTAATTTGTCATCTAGTTCAATTCAATTCAATTTAATTTTATTTATATAGCGCCACATCACAACAACAGTTGTCTCACAGCGCTTTCCAAACAGAGCAGGTCAGACCCTACTCTGAAGTTAATTACAGAAACCCAACAATTCCCGCCATGAGCAAGCAAGCACTAGGCGACACAGGCAAGGAAAAACTTCATTTTAACAGGCAGAAACCTTGAGTAGAACCATGGCTCAGGGTGGGCGGCCATCTGCCTCGGCCGGTTGGGGGTGAGGGAAAAAAAGGGCAACAGAGATAGGGCGAGAGAAGGACAGAGGGAGCAGAGAGAGGCAGCCAACACAGCAACACGTAGACTAGTCAGTTGAATATTTCCTATTTAATAAAAAAAATGTAGTCTGTTGAATTGTTGTGCTCTAAAATACCATAAATGAGTGTCTAGAGTTGTAACAAATATTTATTTTTCCATGAGGGACAGTTTATACCCAAGAGGTATGTAGTCATTTGACACACTAACAATACAAACAAGGATTTGTGACAGGTTAGTGAGTATTTGACATTCTTGAGGTATCAGGAACAAGAATAATTTTTTCAGGAAATCCCATTCTGACTGTGCTTGAGAGACCCAACCATCACGCCTCCCCGTTAATAAAATGGCATCTAAATGGTCTTCGCAAGGACATAGCTGGAGCACCGCAGTCAAATCTCCTCAGACCACTTCACACGGCAAGAAAGGCTTATCATAATTAGATGCATGCTGACTTTTTGCAGATTAAACGGATGAGTTTTATCTGAGCGCTTGACTGTTTGGTTCTTCCCATTTTCATTGAAGCTCTGAATGCTGCGTGACCCGCATTTTTTCATTGGAGGGCTTTCGTCTTTCCCGATAACCTTTTTTATTAGTGTACCACTGCTGTACCTCCTGAACCAAAGTCATCCAGCTGCTACATCTCCAAATGAAAGTAATTAACTTATCATGCGCTGTGTGTTGTTAATGGGGACATGAAAGAGGTAATGACCTGTGTAATCCATAAAACGAGGTTTCATACGTATATATTTAAGACAATTTGTTACCACAACAGGATATCCAACTATTTTGCTTAAACAAGCAGGTGTTTGAGTTTATATAACCTCTTTAGGTGAGATAGAGAGTAGAAGTGTGTCACCTGTGCGTCCAGCTCCATGATGTGAGCCACCTTGTTCCAGCCGAAGCCCACAAAGCGCCGGTCGTACTCGGGGCTGTCTCTCCTCACCATCACGTAGGGCTCGAAATCGGCCTCCCACTGCACCCTGTAAGGCGTCGTCGCTGTCCGCCATTTGGCAAAGTTGGTGGGCGCGTGGCCTTTAGTCCAGACATGGTACCTGCATGGGCAAAGGGGGGAAAATGACCTAATGACTTCTTGTGGTCGCATTTCATCAGTGTTCGTGGAATGTGGAATTTCACAGGTCCTTGTTCAAAACAAAATGTTTGGCACCTAAAGGTGAAGAGCGTGCCCATGTCCAGCTGGGACAGCAGCTCGGCCTTCGATTTCGGGTAGGACAGTCGATAGCGTAGGGTCTCGAAGGCTGGAACCACCAGGGCTTTCTTGGTGTTGGCCATGTCCAGCTGTACAACTGACTTCCTAAAGGCACAGTCATGATCACAGATGGAAATTTTTACTGAATGATAAACAAAAGGCAGGAGAGACGTAGTGGTGAAGTCCATGCGATTGCAATATTTTACCTGAGATATTCGTAGAGGCCGTACATGGGCAGGAAGTCGATGTCCGACAGAAACATGTAGGGCGTGTTGACCTGCTGCATGGCCACGTTCCGGAGCAGGTTGACCGGGTAGAACTGTCCCTCTTTATAGACTATATGATAGCCAACGTTACCGCGGCTCATCAGCACCTCGGAGCCCTGGGCGTAGCGCAGGAACTGCTGGGCCTCGGCGTCCGACAGGTACAGAGCCAGGCTGATGGGGCCTTCCCAGTGCTTACAGATGGCCTCCAACATCTGGAGCCTACGAGGAGGATAGGCACAGATGAAATAGACGGATTTGAGTGATAATTTGTGAGCGCGAAAAAGAAAGATGAGTAAAATATATGGATGAAATCCAACATATTCCACAGTGTAAAGCCGTTGAGTTTCAATAGAAAAATCTCCTCATTCTAAAAGCGACTCTACATAAACAATATTATATATACTATATGAGTTTTATAAACTGAAGCCTTGGCAACAAATCCCCCCCCTTTTTTTTCCTAATCAAATCATCTTAAATCATTTTTTAAAAAACCAAATCATCTTACCACATAGACAGCAGTTGAATTGTGTGAACCTGCAATATTCATTGAAAATAAACTGTGTCAAACTACATTTAATGCTGTGTTTTCTACAATATTAACACAAAGTGCTTTTCTTCACTGTGCTCTGTTTTTGCTACTGATATTGACCAGAGATTGAGATATGAATGTAGAATAAGTTTGGATCACACACTGCAGTGAAGGGGAAGTCCTGGGCTTTAATTCAGGGGCCAAAGATTTGACCTAAAAACAAACACAGCTCATCAGGTTATACAGCATGAGAGATATCTAGACTGTAGATAAAAATAATAGATGGAAAAATGCCAAATTTGGCAACCAAAATGAGTAACTTATTCAATGTTTAAATGTTCATCTTTCTCAGAATTTGATCTAATTAAAACAAACAGATGAGCCATGTGCAAGGTTGATCTAAATATATAACGCTCACTTTTGATATATAAGATGAACCTATAACCAAGATTTTAGCTTTTACGTCTCGTTGTAATCTCTTTGAGAATTTTTTTTAGGTTTACAAAGTACAGAAACTACCATCCTCAAAGTGACTGGTGACCTTCTTTTAGAATCCAACAGAGGAGAGAGTGCAGTTTTTAATTATTTTAGACCTGAGTGCAGCTTTTGAAACTGTAATCACCTTAGGCCATCACACAGCCTCCAAATCCCAGATTGCCCATGTGTACTGCAGGGTTTAGTTTTAGGGTTGAATTTTATTTTATAATTATATGCTCCCACTTTCGCAGATTTTTCAGTGCCACAATTCATCTTTCCATCATTATGCGGATGTCACACAGACATACCTACCCCTGAGACCAAATTAGCTACGAAGCTGGGATGCCATGTCAAACTGCCTCGGCAGTATTAACTGCTGGATGGCCTAGAACTTTCTCCAACGCAACAATTCCATCATTCCAGTAAAAAGAGCCCTTGTTCCCCTTGCCACAAAGGGTTCACTGCCAGATGTCTTGGGGGTTGCATTTGATTTGAGTCTCGCCTTCCAAAATCACATCAATAAACTTGTGCAATCCCGTTTCATCCATCTACGTACAATTTCAAGGATCTCATTTATATCTAAAAATGATATAAAGGTAATTGTACGTAGATGGAGTAATTAAACATATTACTGTAATTCACTCCGGTCTGGTTTAAACCACCTTTTTCCCAACAAAGAATGCTTATTTTTCCTCATCAGATGGTTATAAATTTTTTATAAATTCATATGATGTGATTTTCTGGAATTTTTCTTTGGGACTCTGTCTTTCACTGTTAGAATGTACAAATGATTAAAGTTATAGATTGTTGCATTCTTTGTAAGTGGGCAAACCTGCAAAATCAGCAAGGGGTCAAATACTTATTTCCCCCACTGTACGACATAAAAGCACCCTAATCCTGGCTTCATTCCCTTCGCTTCCTGTGTGTTTTTTAATTGATTTTAACATTTTACTGACCACTTTTAAGGCCTGGCTGCCGGGTCTGGGTCCTAGCCACCTATCTGACATCATAACCACTCATGAGCCAACACAAAGCTTTAGATTTTTGGGTCGGAGGCTTCTGACTGTTGTAAAGTCGAGGTTTAAATCTAAAAATGATTGCGTCTTCTCCACCAGGGCCCCTTGACTTTTGAGTGACCTGCCCAAGGAAATAAGGTTTTCAGAAGTGACAGGTTTGAAATGACTTCTTAAAACAATTTTTTTAGACTTGCTTTTATGTAATGGTGTCTGGTGTCTTGTTTAAATTTGTATTAGTTTAATTTTGCCCTTCTTCTGTGTGGCCCTTTCTTGTTTTGTTCATCTTTGTCTCTCTTCGTAAACCCAATTTTTTATTATTATCATTATTATTTTTGCTATTATTATTATTACAACTCATAAGAATGTTTCATTTTTAAATTAGGGAAAATTAAGCTTTATTTTTTACCTATCATAATTGCATTTCTGCATTTCTGTAGACATTTCTGTCCTATTTCTTTGGCTTTCTGACCCACCTTCCAATCCCTTAAACAGAAGAAAATCTTCAACCAAGGCCAGTTTTTCATCTTAGTAACAAGTATTGCAGAAGCAATCAGCTGCCAAACTGCTTCCATGGTAGTGTATTAGATTAAAAGTTCAAGAACATCTTGTGTGGAAGTGTTTCAATTGCATGGCACATTATTAATGACTGCGGGATGCCTTCAGTGGAACACATTTATCTTCCAAACACTTAGCCCCGAAGCAGTTTATTTCAGGCACACAAAACTCACTGCTCTTGGTTGTAAAAGTTAAGAGATGGCGTGATGTTTATTATTTTTATCAAGCATTGAAACCATCGGTGACAAAACCACAAATTTGCTAAGATTTTATCCATCCAACAGGGGAGTTGGAGCCTATTCCAGTTGACATTGAGGGACTCTTATTAGAGTGACTGTTTTTAAATCCAAATGAAGAAAACACTTGCTAAAAATAATCCATGAAAATGTCAGATTGTAACTGTTTTTAGTACACTTATCATACAGGATCTCCAACACTCAAATGGACCAATTTAACACATATCTGTTTAATTTCATAATATTGGATAAAATAAGTAATATCACCTCATTTGTTCACTGTTTAATTTCTCCTCATATTCCACATCTTTGCAAGCAAAAAACAGGCAAAGTAGACATGCAACATTCTTAGCTCTAAATGCTTTTTTCCCCCCAGAATGAATATTTTTAAGTAAGTATTTCGCAATTTTTATTTTTTTACTTTGAAAATTAGTATTCTGTACAGTATTCCAATGCTTATGTCTAATTCTTCGAGTAGAGCATTTAAATGTAAGCTTGTTCTGCAGGCTTTACAGTCACATTTAGGCACAGATCTATTTAACTTAACTGTGTTCTACAGAGAGTCATTGTGCTAGCTAAATTCCCACTTCATGACGATGTGCATAATTTAGTTGAGCCCCTCTCTGATGCCAGCCAGCCTGAGATTAAATATAATGTAATGTCATCCCTGCTGAGGATTCTTTAAAACAGTCTACGAAATCTTTCATTTTTGGAACACACTTCGATTTTGGGAAAACACTCAAAACGACTGCCTTTCAGTATAAAATCTGAGTCAAATTAAAATCAAATTCAGTACAAACTACTTGTTGACTCAAAGCTTACAGCAAATACTTTATAAATCCATCGCTCATGGAAACAACAACAAACAGTAAAAAAAAGGAAAAAAGAGTGTTCACAGAAGGCTTGGCGAAGTTTCAAAATTTGATTTCTCGATTTAGTTTGTATATCCAAAACTAAATGGAAAAAAAAAATCTAACTGATCATTGTATATTTAATCATATACTTCTGTCAGTGTGACCAATGGTGTCTCAGCACAATGTTTGCCGCGACAGCTGGAGAGCGTCCCGCTTTGCAGCTAATAAAAGAACTCCATGCTTATAAAATGTGAACCCGATTAGCTGCCTGACTGCAGTCGATGCCTGGATTCTCCAGCTGACTCGGGGAAGACTGCCTGCCAGTGGAGTGCGGAGTGAATATTCAACATGACTGGGCTAACAGGCTGCAGTTCAGAGACGAGAATTATGGAACTGGAAGGGCCTGGTCACTCTCCCTTATGGAGCTCGGAAGTTTCGTTAAAATTTCCCCCTCGACATAATAGTGGTGTGGCTCAAAACTAACCTCACTATACTCTATAAGATACTATCACTAGATATAATAGATATATTACGGTTTCCCCGTTAGTACCTCCCCCAGCCCCACTTGGCTCTCCTCGCCTTGACAGGGCTAGGTTTCGGTGGTTTTCCATCCCAAATCCTACGAAAAAGATGAGCTGACTGGCCCTCATTTTTATGCAAATGTGCCGGTTCATGTTTTTGACTTTTGCAATGTTAAAACCCAGACGTAATGAAGCTGGACGCTGGCCACTGTCGGGTTTTTAAAAATACTTAGGGTGGTGTTCTAGTGTAGGAATCGCATTCGGGACTTATCTAGTCACATGACACCTTGGACAATCCACTGTCCACTTGAGCCAAGCGGCGCCGAGTGGGTACTATTTGAAAACTCCCCTATGTGCCATATTTGTCCAAGTCTGTGACCGAGACCTCACACTCCAGTTTGCGAATTCAGTCTGAAACGGTCCCAAACTGAGTCAGTTACCACGAACTACTGCCTGTGGCTTAAGCTTTATGTTATGCTATGCTATGTGAACAATTTTTTCTCTCTGAGTGGAGGCTTCTTACCAAAAAGACTCCCACCGAGTTGACCTCTCCCTTTAGTTATTTCTAAACAGGATATTATTACTATATAAATCTCATCAAGAATTAGTGAGTACATTCCGTTGCTCTTGTTTAGTTCTTTCTTATTCTGTCATTTTAAATAGGTAGATACTTATGTGGGTAGAGAAAAGGGAGCAGCTGAGGAAACAAAACTCCACATCCACATGCATGGGTGTTTTTTTTAACCCTATAATGCCAAATGTATCATATTTGATACGTACGGTTTCTGAAATGTTTTGCATCAGACACCTTTTGCATAATTTAATGGTAAAAACTTTGCTCAAAATCCTATTGTACACAATCAGATACACCTGATAACAGGGGGCAGAAGACTACACAAAAAATAATCTTGACTTATCGCATAGTAATAAATTATCAATATCAAAATGTATTTTTGTTTTTTCTTTTTACATATTTTGTTAAACGGCCAAATAAACACTTAAAACAAAAAAAAAAGTAATTTTCTGTTTTGTTTTATTCTTGGATCAGGCTTTAAAGGGTTGAACTACATAAACTGAAAATTGACTCTGTGAGTGGGGTTCATTACCTGTCCATAGAAAGCTGGGCGACGAGAGTGACGTCGGTGTTGTCGGAGCTGGGCTCGTACTCGTAGTGAAGGAAATACAGATGTGTCCGGTGGACGGTGAACCGCTCCCGGCGGAACTCGTAGCACGGATCGTCTTCGTCCAGCTCGGAAAGAGTCTTCTGGAGCTGGAGGCAATCAGGAGAGGGACAGTGAGAGTTTATTCATCTGGGAGACGGAGCTTCGGCGTCAGAAAAAAAGAGATACCGACGCAGACTTCCTGTCATTACAGGCTCCGGCGTGTTAAAAACAAAGAAAGGTCATTTATCACCGAGTAAACGGAGCCAGTGTTACGTTTTCTCTGCGGGGCCTGATCCAATAAACCATTGATATCTGACAGCCCTCTTCCGGAGAGGTATGAATCCCGGCAGCAACGTTGTCCCCTGTGAATGTGCGTGTTTTTCTCTGGCCACTTCATCTTCCCTCTGCATTTCAAAAACACACGCGGCAGCTTAATTTGCTATTCAACAGGAAATGCAGACACCATTTGTTCGTTTTTTCCACTGTAATGGCCGGTGACCTCATCATAGGGTGGCACATCTCTTGCTCGATGGCAGCCCGGATAAGCTACAACAACCCTGTGGCCCTATTTTGTACAAAGCTGTATGTACCATTGTTTTTGGCCAATCGGTATATTTACTCTCAATAATAATTTGTACTGATTTAAAAAAAAATTATATTAATAAAAATTAATAAAAATGTTCCAGCACAAAAATAACTTTTTGTGCTGGAAATGGTTCAATTGCTTTATTACACTAACACAGCAGACCTATAGGCTAGTTATACATCATCTCATTTTGGTGTTTAACCATATAATGCCAAATGTATCATATTTGATTCATACGGTTTATGAAGTCTTTTGGATCTGAGACTTTTTGCATCATTCAATGGTAAAAGCTTTGCTCAAACACCTGTTGTACACATTCAGATATACCTGATAACAGCCATTAGAAGACTACACCAAAATATATTTTTGACTTATTGCACGCTAATTTGATCAAAATAATTTCTGTTTTTTTTTCTTCATATGTTGTTGAGCGGCCAAAGAAAGACTTCAAAAATCCTATATTCTTCCTATATGTCTTGGATCAGGAGGAGTGGTGGTGTAGTGGTTAGCATAGCTGCCTTCCAGGCAGTTGACCTGGGTTCGATTCCCGGCCAAAAACAGCTCCTCCCTACCCTGTAAGTCGCTTTGGATAAAAGCGTCTGCCAAATGCATGAACATGAACATGAACATCAGGCTTTAAAGGGTTAATTGTGTTTTTTGGAAAGGTATTTTGGTTTATCATGCTCAAGACACATCGAATTTGTGTTGAGGGACTCCTGTTGTGGACACTCAACAGTATACCATTGACCCCAAACTTCTAATATTCCACAAAACAAGCACAAAATTTGAATGTAAAGAACTTAAGTTTTACAACTAATTTCACCCTATTAGCTCTTGTCAACTTCCTGTCGAGATGTCCAAAAAAAACCCACCGATACGGCATATTTTGAGGACACTTGTTAATCTTTCTGAGCAGTGAATGCACACGGTAAAAATGCTAACGGAACAAAACCGAACCCCCGGCGCCGCGCGGCCTCATTTCTACTCAACTTCATTTAGCTTTAAGTTAAGATGACAACTTGACACTAAGTTCAACAAGGCAGAGATGGGCGAGACAGCAGTGAGGACTCGATATGCGTTCCCCGGTCTTATTAAAGGAACTGTTGTCACACGTTGGCCCTGAAGCATCCCCCCACCTCGCCGTGCACCACCGGATCCATAACACTCAGTGACTTTATTAAGCTAATCATCATTTTAATGGGATTAAAATTGCTGTTCAGACTCTGAAAAATTGACTGACCAAACTAATTCCTTAGTTAAGTTCATTTTTGCAAGAAAAAAAAAAAAAGAAGAGCCTTAATCCACAATAATGGAAAATTATAATGGGCTTAACTGACCATAGAGCTGATACTTAAATTGACTCTGTAGCCCATAAAAGCTTGTTTTGTGAAAACACAAACCCCCGATCATGCTGACCTCAACAGGGAAGATCAAGTGCCTCAATTACTAACAGTCTATTTAGCGGGTCACTTAGAGGACTGTGATGTTTCATTCCATTTACAGTGTCTTTACGCCGAAGGGGCCACCGAGGCCTCCGTCTTTTCCGTCCACACTGACACTGTTGAGGATCCCACTGTCACCAGAACTCCAAAACACTGCCAAGGGTGTCTGTTCTAATTTGGTTTAACTGAAGTCTTTAACTAAAGAATAAAGCTCCAAACTGGGGAATAGTTCATTAATTGCCATTCCATCATTTCTTTAGGTTTTCATTCCCATTTAAAAACATCTTACTAACAAAAAAGCAACAGGCCATCTTAAGGCACTGACAAGATACTGACCCATGCATCCGTTTAATCTGGTGTTTGACCATCTTAAAATAAAAAATAAATAAAAATATACGTTCAAACAATTGAAAAAGTAAGGATGATCGTGTGATGTAACAAGAACCTCCCCATTTGCCGAATGCAGACACATTAATTAAGGTGGAGTTATGCTTAAAAACCATTGCAGCCCTCTTTCAACAACTGCTGAGCTAGTCAAAAACCTCTCATCAGTAAAAAGAAAAAAAGAAAGGGTGAAATCCAGAGCTAAATGAAAAGATGTACGATGATTCATCGTCACATTGTCTGCAATCAGCAAAGTTAATAGCCCAGATTTCCTGTGATCGTAGCCGTTGAAAGGGATGGAGAAGAAAAAGGAAAAAGAAGAGCAAAAAGGTCTGGTCAAACGGGGCTTTCTGGTTAAGGAGAGTTCTTAACTGACACAAATGACCCAGATGTATCTGCATACTGGCAGGTGTGATAAGAACTGGTGGAATGCTGACAAAAGCATCTCCATGACTTTCTTTATGACTGCCTTTAGTACAGGAAATATATTGGAGAGTATTTTAGAAATAGACATTTCTAATATATTGTTTTTATGAATGATGTATCTATATATAATATTTTTTACGGTTTATCAGTATAGGTTTTTTACTAGCTGCATAACATAGCTGTAGAATACAGAAGAGGATAGAGGAGTAGATTTGGACACCAAACTAGACTGGAGGTTGGAGTCAGCACATCACAGAAAAATAGCATTTATTTCAATTGTGGTGACAAAAGTGTCAGATTTTCGTTTTTGTTTCCTTCTTAAGGCCCGAAATGATCTTTTATAGCTGCACTCAGGATCCATTTTTGGGCCCTTAACAGAGGAAATGTGGAGCATCAACGCACGCAAGTCCTTTGACAAGTACAAATCAAAATCTGTGAAACGGGAGATTATTTCCTTCCAAAGCACGCTGATATCAGTGAATATCAGTGCCGTGTAGGCACATTTAATCGGCAGTGGCTCCCAGTTTGACGTTCATTCAGCTCCATCAATTTGTGAAAAGCGTTTGATTCGGGATTTCGCATCAGCCTGGAGAACATATATACAAGATTAAAAGGCATCAGTCAGTTGTTTACGTGGCTATGGATGGGTTATTTGAAAAAAAATATGTTTTTTTTCCCCCTGCATTGCACAAGCACCTGTCCACAAAACAAGCGAGTGGCAGCAGCGTTTGATGCCCTTCATTCTCCCGGCTTTGTGACAAAAACGGAACCAGTTACGGTTTTGTTCAAGCGTAAACTTAATTTTGTCGACTCGAGCACAACAAAACAACTTGTGAGTCTGTGAATCATGTAAAATTACTGTCTTGAAACGTGATAAAAAATTGACTACTAAAATACAGCGGCAATATTCCATCAATTCAATGACGATTGGACCTCCAAGTCCACTTACACAGCGTGATGCCATCCCTTCATTTTGTTTTAGTATCGTCATCTAGGAGATGGTTGGGAATAAAAGATAAATGTGCTATTACAGGAAATCTGCTTGTTTAAGCCCGTGCATCTAGGAATAAAAACTCCCATTTATAAGGCTATAAGAATTCGTCCAATGACCTAAATCTTGTTAACCTGATTCTTTAATTAGAAGCCTAAGAACACACCAGAGATAATAATAGTTTACAAATGTTTAATATCTTCATATCACAGGTAAAACAAGGCAGTTCTTGAGTCAGAGTGTCAGAAAGAACCCTGATTTTTGGGTGTGATGCGCACTTCCAGTTCCATACTGAAAGTTATTTTCTTGGCCTGGACTTAACACAACTGAGTCTCTTTGGTCAGTTATCTCTTCATACACATTCATGTCGGCTTGCTGAAATATATAAAACATGAGTTTACTGTTGTCTTTGAGGTGTAGACTTAACTCTAGGTAACCTATCTAATAACTATTTCCATTGTAACGACACCCTCATAGAAAATTAAACGGAGCGTGTTAAAAACTGAAGCTTTTGTCATCTGACTTGGCTCTCAGTCACAAGAGCTACACAATTATTAATTTTTTTCTTTGTTGAGGAGGGTGCAAACCACTGCTTAAGTGACTACAATTTAACTAGCAGACAAACTTGCAGATCAGGGCCCCTTTGACAGCTTTGACATCGACTGGCGAACGGAGCGCTTGGATGACCTGCCCACCTTTACAACGCTGTCAGATGGAATAATCAGCCCTCTTTTATTTTTTAGGGTGAGCAAAAGTAGCTCTGATGATGCAAGTAGAGCATCAGACACCAAACTACCACGGCATACATCAAAGGACAGCCTTTTGAGAAGTTGGCCAACAGCAAACCCCTGAGATTTGCACCGGTTCACTGTCTGATCAATGACTCCGATTCTCCACTTTGCCACATCCAAGATGGCGGCGAGGTTGACATACGATTCAGCCCTCAGTGCGGGGTCTACGTGTATATGTCCTTCGTTGTTGTTTCGCGAATAAATGACGTCACGCTCTGTCAGCCAATCAGAGGCAGTGCTCAGTTTAAACACACACCAGCTACACACACTCAATCTAGCAGAGGTTAACGGACAGCAGTGGCGAGCTCCGAGGGGGGAAAGTTGGCGTTTTTCTAACTGCGAGTACAGACACTATCTTATTCTCGTTTAGATAAAAGGCGATAAATTAGGTGAAGTGTCCTCGAGTGAAGTGTTGGTCCGCGTCCACTGTAAGCAATTCTAATCTGCTGAAGCATCTCTCGACGGCACGCGCTTATACAAAACACTGTGGCCCAAAACACTGCGGTTGACTTAATTAATGATGGCAGCAGGCCCGCTGACAAAAGACACGGAGCCAAGCCTTCCAAGCGGCTGAAGCAGTTTTTTTCCGTTTAAAAACTTTTATAGTGGAGTAATTAGTTACTAACCAAGTGATTTTTCAGGAGAAGTAACAAGTAATGACTCTACTTTTTAAAGGTAACGTGTCCAACACTGATCTCAGGTCACACTGTTCTGATTATATTAAAACAGCCAGTAGTTCAGTGCAAGAGTGTCAGTCTAAAGTGAACAAAACAACCAGCCGGTGGCATGAATTAGTTGAAAAGGACAACATTTAAGTTAATAAATAAGGTCAGTTTAAACATACCCTTCAATTCCATTCAATTTTCTAACAGGGTTAAAGCACATACTAAAGAAAGAGCAACCAGTCTCTTTTTTTTGTGGCTATTTAACCATAATCCAAGATCCACAGTAATGATATCTGCATTTTCTCTTTGCATGTTCCCTCTGACAAGATATAAACAATATAAATAATGCAACAGTAACATCTATCTCTACAAAAGCTGTGTATACACAACACATTTCCACCTACATTCTCGCTATTGTGATCGGCCTTGCTGGGGCAGCCGAACAGCTCTCTTCGCAGCAGGTTGCCGTCGTACTCCAGAAACGTTAGATAGAGGTTCCGGAAAAATTCCACGTGCTTGTTCTTCACACGGAGCTTTTTGGGGGAGTTCCAGTGGATGACCTACGATGGAGATGCACAAAGGGAAGGGAGTCACTAATTTTTTCCTTTGCGAGTGAGCTCAATGTGACTTCTCTTAGATTTGAGTCAGAATTTTGAAATCCCGCATTCATTGTCTTTGTACACATGTTGTATGCATGTATTAACCCTTTAATGCCAAACGTATCATATTTGATACATAAGGTTTCTGAAATGTTTTGCGTCTGACACCTTTTGCATAATTTAATGGTAAAAACTTTGCTCAAAATCCAATTGTACACAATCAGATACACTTGATAACAGGGGGCAGAAGATTACACAAAAAATAATCTTGACCTATCCCATAGTAATAAATTATTGATATTAAAAATGTATTTTTGTTTTTTTCTTTTTACATATTTTGTTAAAAGGCCAAATATAGACTTAAAACAAAAAAAGGAAGTTTCTGTTTTGTTTTATTCTTGGATCAGGCTTTAAAGGGTTAAGTCACTTCCCTGCTCCTGGGAATTGCTGGGAAACACATCGAGACTCTCTTTTCCACCCCAAAAAAAGCTCGCCCTCCTCTTGAATAAAGGTACACCGCCTTTGGGATGCTGGTTTGCCAGCTGACACCTGCTTTATGCGGGTCAGGTCTGAGATGTCAGAGTGGGGTCTCACCTTGAGGTCTGACACGTCTTTGTAGCATTTCTCGGAGCGCGTGTGGTCGGACAGCTGGACGTTCCAGAAGCAGGGCAGCTGGTGAACCAGGAACGGATTCTGCTTGATCACCGCGTTAAAGATGTCCTGCAGACATAAAACACACACACACACTCAAACAGCACAGTCTATCACCTGACCCTGCAGGAGTCCGATAGCCACAAGAATCCCCAGTTCAAGGGTAGTTTTTGAGTCTTAGAAACTCATTTTCAGCGTTTTGGACAGCGTCACGTATTAGGTTCTTGAATGTTGAAGCCGAGACATCAAAACAAAAGATTGCATCAGCAGTTAAATGTTGATTGATAAAGAAAATGCTTCGAGTTCTCATCTTTATGATGCGGGCACTAAAGAGAAAAAAAAGGCTCAACAGAGATACTAAAAAAACAGCTGTTTGATGGAGGTCAGTTCTTGGAGGGTTTCAGTCATTTAGAAATGGAATGTTTTTACTTAACAAAACTGCACGGGATGGGCATCATATTTTCTTGTGTCCCTTAATGCTCCTAAACGCTCTGGTGTCCCAGTCTTTCAAATGATTTGTATTAGATGAGGCGAGATCTGCTTTGGTCTTTGTCCATTATCTCTTTCCCCATCTTTTTCTAAATTTTTTCACAGGTGATCAAGTCGAAAAAACAAGACTGGGTAGGGTAATAATCACCATAAACACTGGTTGTTAATGCTTCGCATCTGTATCTTGAAATTGTAAAATATACTTCCTGAAAAATCTCCTATTCACAGTTGCATACTCTCAAGACAGATTTTCCTCTTTAATATTTTTTAAAGCTTACAGGGTTGTTTTTATAAGCATGGAACCTGATCAAATGGTCCAATCGATCAACTGATTTCTGCACCAGTGTGCAGCGCAGCAGTGCTATCAAGATTTTAAACTGCATTGCGGCCACTCAATGTCAATGCTGTTATTGCTTTTGAACCTGTTCTCAAACACACACACTTTTCCACCATCATTGACGCAGGTAGGTGCAGGTGAACCTGGCAAAAAAAATGTTTGTCTTGGATCATTTCCAAGAGTTTTAAGCTTCTGGGTGTGTCATTTGAGGCCGTTAAACTTCTAAATATTTCAGGTGTTGGGGTTAGAAACATTTAATATAACTATGTATAACACTTTTTCACGAGACAAGACTGTGAAATAGTAATATTTTAGCTAATATATTATTAGCATTTGATATATTCTTAATTAATAAGATACCAAACATTGGCTAATTGTACATCTACACTAATAAGGAGATTGTCCCAATAAAGGGCTGCAAGAGTATTCAGCTAGACCGATTTGTTATCGTAATAAAACTCTGAGGCGCATGTGCTCTAAAATGTATAGTGTAGAGTTTAGAGAGGGCTTTTAGAGGTCTTTAAGATGAAGAAAGAATTATCACAGAGTAACTGTTTCAACTTAAATAAAAATAACTCGAGTAAATCCTCCCCATCTGCTCTTGCTGGTTTACCAGTGCAGACTTTTCTACCCTCAGATTAGTGTTCTTTTTGCCTTGAACACATCATTCAGGTGCCACCGTGATCAGAAAAATGGTTCCGTTAAATCCCTTTTGGAAGAACGTTCTTTAGTTTAATCTGCCTTTTGACTTTGACTCTGCAGGTTCTCCGTTCTCAGTGACAGATTCTAGCTTCCTAATGGGAGACATAAAACCTCCGTTGCCTTGTGATGAATCCTGCGATGGCAAAAAAGCTCGCGGTACTGTGGAGGAGCCCACATGGCAGAAGGCAGATGGGGCTCCGAAGCGGTTTCTGGCGCCTGTTCATTTTCCAAACTGCATACCTTGTGGGACTGAACTTAATGAAGGTTTAATTAAAATCTCATAAAATGTACCCCCTCGTCTAGATGAGCTCTAAATAGCTTCGAGATAAAGCAGAGACCCCGTAACAAGGTCTCTGTCTGCCCTCACACTGCTCCACAGCGATCGTTGAGAGCGTGAGGTATCGTTTCTCGCCCTCTGAACACATAACAAAAAAAAGTCACACCATGTCTGTTTACAACTGAACACGGACACTGAGATTTATGTCTGTACCAGCAGGTGACAGAAAGCAGAGCAGTGCTGTAAAACCCATAAACAAAAACACTGCTGCACCAAGAGACCTGCACACAGGACACGCTTTTTTCCCTAACCGGATGAAATCTCCACTAAAAGTTAAGTTATTTTTCTTTTCTTTTTTCCTACCTGCTGAGGTTTTAAACACAACACGCCGGCGATGGCAAATGCTTAAAAATGATCATTCGGAGGAAACAAAGGCTGTTGCCAGGGCTTAACTGGTCACCTTGGGCCCAGCTGTGTTTTCATAACTCGAACCACCAGTTTTGCCAAGAACGTGTAAAGATTTGTGTGAATGTGTGTTACCTGGTCTGCCAGGGAGGTGGACAGCATGCTCATTAGTTCCCTCTCCGCAGTCAGCCTCCACATCTGCTCCCATCTGAGCTTCCGTAGTCGATCCAGGAGAAGTAAAATCACCCCTGGAAAGCAAACACACACACATAGCAGTAAAGGGTAGCAGAGAAAACAGATTAGAATCTAGCTGCCTGCTGAAGGTGATAACGTCCCTTCATGAGGTCCTGAAACTCAGCCTTGTGTATCCTGAGATAAAACCGGAATTTAAAGCCCGGTTAAAGCGCGAATCCTCCCGAAAAGCTATAATTCTGTAATACTATCATGTCTTAAGTAACTCCGTAAAACCAAAATTCGTATTTTTTGGGGTCGCAGGCTATTACGGGAAAACCTTCTTGGCAGTAAACTAAATCAGGCAGGCAATTTTCAGAGGGGGGACAGACACAGAGATTTATTTTTTCCCCGATCGAAAGGCAGGCGAAACCTTCCCTTTCACACCCCCGCCGTGCTCCATCTGTCGCCACGGCCACACAACCGCCCGACCGCCGCTCAGCGGGCGGCTTTCTGTCACGTCGCTCTTCTGTGTAAATGCAACATATGCCCCTCTGTTTTGCAGATCGGGCCGTTGAAAGGACGCCGGAGAGCAGATCACATGGGCCTTTGCGTGCGGGAGCGATCCGGTGACTTTTTGCGCCCCTACCCACTAAAAAACGCGCCAGCCGTGAAAATTCGCAGAGCCTCTGCAGTCAACCGTGCTATTTGTTTTTTTTGGTCACAGTCGATAGAAAGATTATCCTCCTGCTCCACAGAGCGTCATGCCCCCCCTGAAGGAGGAGCGGCCGGATTAAAAGGCGGGGGAAAGCGTACAGGCGGAGAGAAAGCGAGCTCGCAAACTGTAATGAACCCAATCGATCGCACTGTAAACTCCACAAAAGGCCTCCTGTAACACTAATCTCTTGTGCCTCTTTGAAAGCGTTACGTAACTAGTTTACATCAGTGGTCAGAAACGGTCCGGCCCTTTTGTGACCTGCTTCATCTACCTGAAAGATGCCAACATCAACAGAAGCTTTCACTTAAGTTTCAACAAACCAGTTCGGTCCTTAAACATTTATAATTGTTAGAGCTAGGTATTGGCTTATATAAACATCTTTCATCAAAATTGACCTTTTAATGTAGCTGAAAAAAGTTGAGGCAATTTCAATCCATAATAAAAAAAAATGAATTTATCCATTTATATCAACTCTTATTCAGTTAGTGTCAATCTAATTAATTTACAAAGAGCAGAGAGTTGTTACTATGATTAACAAAAGTAGTGGGATGAAAATAAAACAAGTATCAGAGGCTGTGTAACTAATTAACTGTGTTTAACCCAATCTTTAAACAAATGGTGACATTTCATAAAATAAGTAAAGTTTTTCAATTCTCATGTTAAATTGTAGCTCCGGTTAACTGTCAATCAGAATCAAGTTTTGCACCCGTTTGACTAAAATAGAAATTTAACTTGGAGTGCAATAATCTGAGAGGACTGACCCAGGAAAAAAAATCAGTCACTCTACAAAAGCTTCTCCTCTCTCCCACATGTTTTTTTGTGTGTTGGACTTACTTTACTTTAATCCAAAGTAAAACCTGCAATAGTGTGTTTTCCATTTGTCCCCCACATCTGATGGCAAAGGCATCAAAGGTCCTTTATAAAAAATAAACCAAACTTTCTGTGTGTTGACATTACTCACACACAATAAAGTGCATCTTTATTGTGGCTGACAAACTAACTTTACTGGGCTGGAGTCTGTGCTGAAAGGTTAGAAAAACCCATTTTCATTCGGGTTCTATTTTGTCCCACTCTACCCAAAAGCTGCTGCTAAGGTGTGCAGAGGTACAGGGTTGTTCTTGCTGCATATTGTTTTGCAAAACTTTTCTGTTGTGACCAGGTAAAAATTTCAGGAAGCTCTTTTTTTGTATCTGCCCCTGCTCTCCCTCGCCATGCATTTGCAAACACTCCAGAATGTACTTTTACACCGCCTTATTTAAAAAAAACAACACATGGATGCCATCGGTGTGCATTAAAAAATGTCTGTTTTTAATGATCCCGAATACAAACTCATCTGATCCTTTTTACTTTTGTTGTAGTAAATGCTGAAGGAGTAAGCTGAGGGAATTTCAAGACAGGATCAGTAGGGAAAAATATACTGTATGTTGAAAAAAAAAATCAACATTGTACGAATTAAATATTACTAATTTTTCACATTTTTCACAGGAATTATCAGACCATTCCACCTTACTGACCGATTAAGGATGCAGTGAGAATCAAATCCGTTCAGCTGTTTATACATCCTTCCATAACCTTTTCAGCTCTGACCTAAGACCACACAGTCTAATACAAACCGCTTAAAATTGATTTGAAAAAAAACAAACAAAAAAACTCAACCTCACGTGGACCGTCTGTTCTAATTTGCTGACTCCGTCTCATCGCACTTACCTGTATTAAAGCCTCTGCCCAGAGCTGGCCATGGCCGATGGTTCTTCCACAGGTTCCCCAAGTACCAGTCACTCTGGTTCTCCACTAAACCCAGAACTTGCTGACCTGGACACGCACACACACACAGACAGACACACAAATCATAATGTAATTGAGCAACCAAGTCATAGCTTTACTTGTCATAGCTTTACTATTTCTTGTCTTTACTTGTTTGAGGTGAGTATCGGACTGAAACTAATAAAAATAAAAATAAACATCAATATAATATAATAAAGTAATCCGAGTTCATGTGGCAACAAAGAGATGATTTAAAAATGAATTTCACTTGTCTACTCCAGATGGGACACTTCAGTCAGGTTAATCTACAACTAGATAATTTCCCCCCTGAAAATGTTAAGGCATTAAAAAAAACAAGACAGGCAGACATTCCTAAATTTAATAATTACGTGAATTATGTGCTTGTTCTCTCAAAGTATATCACTACAGATTAGTTACTGACAGTCTTGAACATTGGACAATTTAGATACTTAGCTGAAGTACTTATAACAAGTAGAGGTGATGCTTTTTTTTCTTCCAATATGAAGATTTCCTGCCTGTGTTGATAAAACCCTCGTCACTCATCCGTAATTGTGTACTTTACTCATAAATAATACCAGTACTTATGAAATAATGATGTAGGAACAAATGTTAGATGAGTGACAATTTGTCCAATTTAAATGTGACACGTTTACAATTACATCCAAAAACAAGTTAAAGGGTAGATAAAAAAACATGACAGGAGACTTGATAGCAAAGGACAGAGTTTACCTAGATGACTTTTTATGGAAAGCATGTTAAAAGACGATCAAAAAATAGAAAAATGGGTCAAATTACATATGTTTAAAAAGTCATTTTTCAAGATGAAATTAGGTTGCAGGCTGCAGCAGCTGGGTATACTGGTCAAATTTGAGTGAATTAAGATGCAGCTCATTGAATAAATACATGTTTTTACTGAAAATAACCAGAAGAAACGGGTCAAGATCTGTGGGTGCTCTGTGGGTTTTGGTCGCCCTGTGATATTCAACCCGTGGAATGAGATCGATTGACATTAGCAGCTTTGGGGGTCGGCAGGTTCAGCCCAGCGCCACCACAGACATAATCCCCCATCATCGAGCAAGCTTTTATGTCTGAGCAGATGACAAAGCGCCGGATGACTTTAACGGCCACCCTCAAAAAACGGCTCTGGCGATGGCGGACTGAAATCAGAACTGGGCTCACGTCAATTTGGAAGACGAAGGGATGCAGGGGGATGGGAGGTAAGTGGGATTCTGAGGAACCGAAAAAAAGAAAAGAAAAAGGAATGCAAGCTGGGTAGAGATAAAGGTCGAGGAGATAGGCATTAGAGAGGAGATAGGAGTCTGAAGAGAAGGGCATGGGTGTAGTGGTGGCAGCTTTAATGAAGGCTGTAAGGAAGATTAATGAGTGCTTATTGGCTCAGGCAGCAGAGAGCAAGACAGCCCCTTCAGAGAGTCCGCCAAAACAAAGAGCCCACATCCACCATCAAGGTGACGGGACAATGAAGAGTCCACAAACAGGCCCGTGCTCTGTTTACCGAGACTTCGCGGGGGGTCATTTGGCCGGGGTTTCATCAGAACCGAAGACGTTATAAAGGTTAATTAACGTTGATGGCGATGAGGCAATAAACCTGCACGATTAATTTGAGTTAATGGCGTTTTAATCACGACGGAACCCCATTAGAAAGCAGTTATTGATCTAAGTCAAGCAACAGTTTCTCATAATTTCCTTACGCGTGAAAAGAAATGGCTCCCTTTTTTTTCCAGGCTCAAACAGACTGAACGTGGGTTGGAAAGCTAAAAAACTAAACATGGACCAAGACGCGCATCATGAGCCAATCTAAGATGAGATTCTTAATATAGAACGTTAAAATGAATGTTAATATCCGATGCTGCTGGTTTAACATTTCTTTAGACGGCCGTTAAGACTGTTAATGTATCTTTCAACTATCTTTTCTTTGAGTATCTAAGTGGCAGTGGCCCAATATAGATCGGTAAAGACAAGGAAGCAGAGGACACGTGAGAACACGCTTGGCTGCAGAAGACGACCTTCGTTCTGACTGAATTTTTTATTTTTTAAACTGCAAATAGTCAGACGACTCCGTGGATTGAAAAAAAAAAGCTATTACCTTGTGGTTAAATTCCATTTAGCAAGAATTTGATTAAATCACCTGGTTACTGCCTTCTCATTCTCCTGTTTGACACTGAATGTAAAAAAAAAAAAAGACAGCAGAAGGCAGGAGGAAGAGAGAGCAGCTGTTTCACAGACCAAGGCTCATTAGAGCTCTATGCTCTCCCTCTTAAGCCTTTACTAAAACTTATTTTTTGTTGAAATTCTCACTTTTTCCTTTTTGATATATTTTCATCCAACTTTCCACTGAATATTGTGGCCCTCAGCAGCTATTTCTGTACAGTTTACATTCCAGATCAGTGAATTGGGAATGAGACTTTGACAGGACAGAGTTTATTTCTTTCTTTACAGAAACCCCCTCAACCTCTCCTGACTTCCCGAATAATAAAAACAGTTGTGCTCCTGACCGTGAAGCTTTAACCACATACTTTCTAAAAAAGAGTCAGATATTGGCTTTCCAAGTCAGAGAGCTATAACAGGAGAGAAAAGAAAAAAAACAAAACTGGCAAACAAATCAATACCAGTTTGCCTTTGTTCCAACAAAAAGCAAAAGCCCGGCCTTAAAAAAAAAAAATCCTGTCAAAAATGAAAAAAATTCAAACTGTGAGATGCTTCATGCTGCACATCAGATTTATCCACAGTCCCGTTTGCACTGATGAGCTCCTAAAAGGATTAAAGTTTTTCGGGGCTTCCATTTATGGTTTGTTTGCTCAGTGGACCTGCATATGTTCTGCTCTGTACAACCCGGTGTTACGATCCTCACACAGTAAACACATCAGCATGGATGGTGTTGAGGGAGAAGAAACTCGAGTTCTCGTCAACTTTTACACCTTCGACGGACTGGCTGCCGATGCCAGTAACTACAAACGCCAAGGTTGCCGTGGGCAACAGTCACTCATCACTCTGCTCATCGAGCTTGTCTGGCTACTCCTAGGCGCCCGCTTCAAATTCAAGTCACTGATGTTAGCCTACGAAGTGCCTAAGGGTCCGGCTCCCGTCTAAAAATCAGGTTAAAATTCTTGGGTAATACTGGACTCAGATCTAAACACATTAAATCAATTAAATCAGCATTTTACCATTTAAAAAACGTTGCCATTGACTAACTTCAAATGCTTTAATTTGACAATGAAAAAAAATCCAAATTTTTATATAGATCTTTAATCAATCTGTTCACAACATATTTCTCTTTCAGTCAGCACAATATAATATCCAAGTATTTTAATAATCAAATCATCACATGGCATTTAAAATTAATGTGTTTCTCGGTTAAATGTGCATCCTCAGAGCCAGAAAAGAACGTTTGAACACTCTTTAAAGTGACTGGGTTGACTGCCGAACGCTGGTTCTTTAAATGAAAGAAAAGAAAGAAGAAGAAGAAAATGACATTAAATAAATGCAAACCGCTTCCAGAATCATCCACCTTGTGACATCCTCTCCGAAAGCCTTGCTTCCACCGTAGCAACTTCAGAAGGGGTAGATTATTATTAAAAAATGTTTTTAAAAACTTGACAGCACGTTGTAATAACTTATTTAAAAAAATTCTCAGCCTCCTCGTTTTCATCTCAACACAGTCAGTACCTCAAAATACCTTTTTTGATTGATATCACAGAAATCTTATGAGCATTTTTTTTTAGGACTCTTAAGAAATAAATACTTCATTATGCACCATTACTATGTCTATCATCTGGTAAAATGTCTTGAAACCAGTATGTAGTGAATGTCAAACCATCAAATTTAAATACAGAATCACATTTATTATGATTTCTGACCAATTTTTGTATAAGTTACTTTAGAAAGTTGATGTGAAGATAAAGAATTATTAATAGTTAGTCTTTTCTTGGGTGTTTTGGAGATACTCCAAAAACAGAAGAGACCCAAATATCCAGAAAATTAAAAAGTAACTAGGCAAAGAAAAAAAGTCACCATCTCGGTCGCAGTCCCCTTGAAGGCAAAGTGATCAGCTAAAAAGCTTCTCTGTCACATGAGGTTTGAACAGCTGACCGACAGAGAAATGGCATCTCATTCACTTAGAAGTGCAATACACTTAAGCCTTGCAAGTTCAAGGACAGGTAGCCAGGTGACACAGTCACCGCTCATGCCCCATTATCTCTGCAGATCACAGATGGCAGGGGATTGAGGAAATGCAATATGAAACACAACTCCCAAATATTTCCTTGGAGGTCTACTTGTGGGACTAGAATGGACGCCATTTTTCATCCAAGTGACAGTGTTGAAAGAACAAAATTCAGAAAAGTCCTGAATGTTATGACTTCTTGGCTCCACCTGCAGATGATAGATGTTATTCTCATACATCTGGATATCAATCTATCCATTTTCTACACTGTATATAGGATCAAATCTATATTATATACCGGAAGGTAACCACAAAATTCAGAATTATGAATGGTGGGGAAAAAAGACGAAGCAAACTCTACTGTTCCACCTGGTCACTGGCCTGAGAGCAGACATTAGGACAATGGAAAATCTGTGCAAGACGTTTTAATTTCTTAAGTGTATTACACCAAACAATATGAAAAAAAAGGACAATAGCACTTAGATTGACTGAACTTGTTGTCATTTAAAAAGAAGAGACTCCCGGGAACATGAAAATAAATCAAAAGGTAATGAAACTATCATTGTAACCGTCTATTAGACAGGTTTATCCCCCTAGAGCAGAAAAAGAAGCCATTGGGCAAAATTTCAGAAAATCCAATAAAACAGATAATAAATTAAATTGTTAATAAACTCCCAAAGGCATGTATCATATCCATACATAGATGCTACATTTGGTCACAGTTGGCAGATAGAAAGCTTTAAAAGTGTCCTGCCATTATCCTGAGTGACGGTTAAATATCTCACGGCGGCATTTCTAACATATTTTTCTATTTCTTTGAACAAATCTTCCAACACAAGAAGCGTAA